TTTATATTGGACATCAGTTGAAGAATATGAACATTTTATCTTGCGATATTTTAACGAAATAAATAAACTAAATATTTAATTGAAATTTAATGCAAATATGTAGAATAAATCGGTTCAAATGCAGATTAACACACACAGATTTTTTTCTTCTTCTTCTCGTTGTACAATCATAATTATTCCAATGGATTTTCATCTATTAAATCCATTCAAATCCATCAAGTTTTGTTGTTGTTACTGTTGTATATAGATCAAATGATGCTTATATCTTGATCAATATCATTTGAATATAATGAATTTATGGCTATGTTAAAATATGTTAAATCATCTACATTTCTGTGTTGATTTGGGGCGAAAAATATAAATATTTCGGCCCCATTTTTTTTTCTTAGAAAAAAATAAAAAATATGAATTATGTATCAGGGTCCAAAATAATAATGGATAAAAAAAACGAAAAATTTCCAACATTTCAACAAAAGGTTTTATCTTGGCTAGAAAATCTTTTTTTTTGTTGAAGATTTTTATTTTTTTTGACGAGAGAAAATGCCCAAGTCAACATATTGTGTTAAAGAAATAGTCTGTTGTCGATATAGTTGGTTGATTTTTGGTGTACATTAATTAACAACCTGGATGATAATATGATTCGAGAAATAAGTTTTTGTTTGGCCACCGAAAAAAATGACACATTTTTTTTGTTGGAAAACTAAATGATACATTTTATCAATCGATGATGTTCAATCTTGAATCATATCAGATCGGATTGATCAATTTTTTTTCTCCTTATCCCGTTTTGATAATCTCATTCAATTTCTTCATCTTTTTTTCAAACTGATTAAATTTCAAAGACAAATTTCATCATTTTGGTCTATCATTTGATTCTCTTCAATATTTGCAACAAACAAAAATATTAAAGTTGCATTTATGGCATCAAAAGGTAGATCGATAAAGATTAATCAAAAATATCAAAAAGAAAAAAAATTGTACGATTAATTTGATTTGAGATGGCAAAAAGCAAAAAAAAAAAAAATTTGAAACAGAATGATTCATTATAGCCATTAGTGGCCAATTGATTGTATTCATTAGTCCCGATAAACAAAAAATTGATCTAATTTCAATGTTTTTTTTTATTATCGTTATCGTTATCATGATTAATAAACGATCAATAAATTATAACTAACCCAAAAAAATGATGTAATTTTTTTCTTTTTTCACTCAGTTGGATGGTCATCATTGTTGTTGTTGTTCGGTCGATCGATTTTAATAATCATAATCATATTTTTTGAAGCAAACAAACATAAGAAATGGAAAAAAATTGTGATAAGAATCGACAAATTTCTTTTGACACCTCTGTGTCTTGAATGGTATCCATCGAACAGAACGACAAATCAACACAGATTGATCACCACTCTTTTTTCTTTTTCACATCTCCTCCCTGCTTCTGTTTGAAAATTCAAAAAAAAAAAAAAAAAAAATGTTGCGACAAAAAAGTTGTCAATTTTCATCAAATTTTATGTTTGTTTCATTGATTTGATTCAAACATTTTTTGTTTTCTCTTTGATTCAAAATCCAATCATGGAAAAGTTGATAAAAAAATTTTAATGATTAATTTGATTATGTTTAATTCAATTAATGTTGTTGTTTTTTATCATGATTTCTTTCAAAAAGGTAGAGAACAAAATCAATTTTAGTGACAAAATGACAATTTAGAACAGAAAAAAAAATTTTCCACCTGAATCTACGATCTATTAGTAGTAGTTGTCCAACAACAACAACAAAATAACTGAACTGAAATGACCAGTTAGTTAATTAGTTAGTGGAAAAATCCCAGAAAAAAAACTAAATAAATTGATCAATTAGATCAAATCAATCTGATTGATAATCTATTGTTGTTGTTGATGAATAATCTGGGCGTTGAAATGATAATAAACTATCAGATGAACCTTGAATGTAACGATAATTTTATTTTATTTTATTTTTTACTTTTTTCTTAATTTAGATTAATTATAATTACAACAACAATTATTATCGTTTATAAACATACTCGAATATCAGTTATAATTGAACGTTAAATTAGATCAAATACAAATCCATAAGAAAGAAAAAAATCATATTCTATCGAATCATTGGATAAATTGGATAGAAAAAACATCAATTTAAACAAAAAAAAATAGGATCGGTTAAATAAAGGATCGTGATGTGTGAGATAAAATAAACGAAAACAAAAAAAAAATTGATCCTGGCGGCTCCCAAATTTTTCTTCTTCTTTTTCCAATATCGATTGTGCAATATTTGGGAAAAAAAACAGACATTCATTATTTAATTATCATGGTTTTTTTTTGTTGAAAACTTCAAAAATCATCAATATCCGAAAGTGACAAAAAAGCAAAATTTTACAATTTTGTCTCATTATAACGGGTCATCGTCATTTTTTTTTTGTTTCATCAACTTTTCATTGCTAAAATCGCATATGTTTTGTTTCAAAAAAAAACAGCAGCATTAGCAAAAGCAATGGTTCAAATAAAAAATCATATCCAATTAATCAATTGAATAGGGAAAAAAACAAAGCCTTTTTAGTATTCTGGCCACAAATATGTTCGTTACATTTTTCTTCAGTAATATTCATTGTTTCATTTCATTATTGGTCATCATCATCATCCGATTTACATTGAATCTTTCAAGTAAAACAGATTGCAATATTTTAGATACAATAATTAAAATTGACCACAAGTTAATTGATTTTTTTTCCTAGTCATTATTGTTATTTCAGTTTCGATTCAGTATTCTGCGTTGTTGTTGAAACAATGTTTAGCTATGAAGTTTTTTTTTGGCTTCCAAAAGATTGAAAAAAAACGGCTATCGATTACATAAATTGTACATTGTCAATGAGATCAGAATATATCCAGCTGCTGTTTTGTTTGCCCAATAGATTTAGTTTTAAATTTCCAATCTGGAACGATAATAGATTGAAGTTTTTTGTTTCAAAATTGATTCCAAAAAAACATTGTTAGTTGTTTAACTTTTAATTATGTTTGAAATCTATTTTTATAATAAAAAAATAATCATAATTAAAAAAAATTAATTCACTAATCACAAAATCAAAAATCATTTGATCGATTTGGTATTGATTGATTAAACGATATTATTTTAGGCATTTTTATTTATTTATTTTGTTGTTCAATTTACTTTAGCCTTGATTGATCAATAAATATAGCGATCAATTTACCTGATTATCGTTTGAAATGATTGCTGATCAGTATCATCATCATCATCATTTCCATAATAATAATAATGATGATGAAATTGAATGGAATTGGGCCAAATTTTTTACTCTGTTTGATTATTAGTTATAGATGTCCACTTGATTTTTTGTATAATTTTTTTTGGGGGGAGAAATTGATGCATCATCATAATATAAACATTATGGTGATTGATATATAAAACAAAAACAAACAGGCATTTCAGATATTTTCACATTTTCATTAATCATTTCAGTATGAGATATATAATTAATGAAAAAAACAAACAAAAATCTATTTAATGGATCATTTAGTGAATTATTTGGCTAATTCGATCAATTCATTTATCCTGGAAATGTTGGTTTTATTTGGTTTCGTTTTTTGTGGAGAAAATGACAACAAGATTAGTCTTAACTCTTGTTTTTTGGCTTCCCGTTTTATAAATCCTATAAATAAATCAATCAATCGATGTTGTTGACTTTTTTAAAACGACAAAAAATGGACTTGTTGCATAGTGGCCGATTCATTTTCTCAAAGCCATTTGGAAAAAGAAAAAGAAATATTCGAATGATAATCATCATCAATGTGAATCGATCATCATCATCATCATTGATTTATGATTAACAAAAGAAGAATATAAAAAAAAACTAAATCGAATTAAAATTAAAATCAATCGACCAATGACAAATAAATAAATAAAAATAAAAATCGAATAACAATAGCATTTGAATTTTTCTTTCAATCATAAACAATCTTAAATTGAAATTGAAACCGATTCGAGTATAAATAGCAGAAATTGAATCTTATTATTATTATCATTCATGGTCGATGTTTTTTTGTTTTGTTTTGTTCATTCGTTGATGGTCAATACCAAGAAACAAAACAAAAAAAATCGATCATCATCAAATCGATTGCTCCATTTGCTGTCCTGATTTTTGTCTGTTTGTCTGTTTGAATCTTTATTTTTCTGGATCAAAATACAAAACAAAACAAAAATTTCATGATCATCTTTCAAATAGCAATCATCGACGGCTATATACACACACAACACTATTAACACACAAATGTGAAACAATCGAACCAATTGTTGATCAATAATTTTTATTTTTCTTCGTCTTCTTGATTTCTGCTGACCGCGCTTATATATTTTTATTATTATTACTTAAGGAGAAAACATTATTTCTCAATATAAATAAAGACCTGATGATTATGACAATGATGATTATGATTATGATGATGATTAATCTTTTCATTGATCATCCATCCATCCATCCAAACAAACAAACAAAAATAATAACCCAAAATGAAATATAAAACTATATAATGTTTTGCTACTGTTTTTGACATGATGATATAACAATGTTTTCTTTTTCTTACTTTTTCTTCTTTGATTCCCACGCAATTTTTCATCATTGTTGAAACCGAAACAAAATTGACGCCAATTATCATCATCGAATAATGATGATGATGATTGGCCCTTTAAGGTCCTTTATTATTATTTCATTTCATTTCATTTTTTGGTCGCCATTCGCGAAAAAAAGTTCATCTAACTAGCCATATGTACAGCCGTTTTTCTATGCTGTTCATTTCAAAAATGATCATTATTACATAACGAAACAAAAAAAAAAACAAATAAACAAACTACTTGAATTCATTCCAATTTGATCGAACTGATTTATTTTTATTGATTGATCCAGTTATTAATCCTTTTTTTTTCTTCTTTATATTTCTCAATCTTTTTTTTTTCTTCACAAAATCAAAAAGCAGATGTGGCAAGATATTGAAAGCGTTCTTTTATTGGGACAACAACATCAACAGCAGCAACAACAACAGCAGCAGGCACCACCTCCACCTCCTCCTCCTAATCAACAACCACCACCACCACCACCATCATCATCATCATCATCAACAGCATCACAGCCACAACAACAGGATCAAATTACATCGTCAACATCGAATGACCATCATCATCATCATCACCATCATCATCATCATCATGATAATAATAATCAACAGCAATTACCTACGTCAACAAATAGCCAATGTATGAACAATAATAATAATAATAATAATAATAACTGTTCAAATGGACAAGATTCATTGAAAAATAATAATAATAATGATGAAACATTATTGAATGGACAAACAGTTCCAACACAAATTAATAATACTGATAAAAATGGCGATATAATAAAATCAATAAATCAAACAAATTCATTGAAAACCAAAGAATTAGATTTATCCGAAATGATTATCAATGAATATGGTGGACATTTTTATGAAAGAATCAATACTACAACCGCTAATAATACAATTAGCGCTGATGTTATTAATAATGATAGTGGTGTTGTTGATGATAATGATGATAATCATCGATCAATTCGATATGAATCACAATCAACAAGTCAAAGATGTTCAACAATGGTTAATCCAGTAACATCATCCATTCAATCAATATTACCGGTACCGTCTTCATCATATTCATTAACGGCGGCTACTAATACAACATCATTAACCGAACTTATGCCTTCAGTCACTTTATCACCTAATTCGATTATTTCATCTTCCTCTTCTTCTTCATCATCATCATCGTCGTCTTCATCACCACCAATGAATAATGGATCAATGATTAATTCTATAAAGAAAGGAAATCAACAATTTCCTAGCACAAACAATACAATGTCATCATTATCATCATCAGTAACAGCAGTCAATGGTGGTCAACAACGATCACATCTAAAAGATCAAATGCCAATATTACATCAACAATTATCCAGTAAATTTGTTGGCACAACAAACACACCAATTTTATCACATCAACAGATTAATAACAACAACAACAACAATCAGGCATCATATCCAAAATTATTATCTAATGGACCAACATCAGCATCTTGGAATGATACTAATAATAATACTGGAGAAAATCAAATCGATAATTGTTATTATTCAAATACAAATTATAATAATAATGGTGGTAGTAGTTTTTGTCATACAAACGGTACAGATGTTCATCATAATGGTTATCATCATCCACGATTCAATCAAACTGTTCAATCATTATCGGTAATGTCACCGCCTGCATCACCTGGTGATCAAAAATCATTTATACAATTGATAAATAAGCAACAAAAATCAAATTCCGAATCTAATCAAAACTATCAATTTATGGCAACATCTCCATGGTCAATGCCAAATGGTCAACAACAACAACAACATACAGCGGATATTATTCAAAATGGTGGAAATATTCAACAATCACCATCAACAATACTTACACTTCAAACCAATCAATCGATCTCACAATCACCGAATAATCGTATAATTACAAATTATGATTGTAAAGAAGAACTTATCTGTAATGGTCAATTAATGCAACAATCATTAAATCATAATCATCTAAGTCAACAACATCAACAAAATAAATCACAAACCAATAGCAATAATAATAATAATAATAGTAATTTTAGACAGAAAAAAGTAACAACACATACTTGTTCACATCCTGGATGTACTAAAACCTATACAAAAAGTTCACATCTAAAAGCACATTTACGTACACATACCGGTGAAAAACCATATCAATGTAGTTGGAAAGGTTGTGGATGGAAATTTGCTCGTTCGGATGAATTAACTAGACATTTTCGTAAACATACTGGTGATCGACCATTTCAATGTCAACTTTGTGAACGAGCTTTTTCACGATCTGATCATTTGGCTTTACATATGAAACGACATGCGGCTGTTTAATTTTTTTATTTTCACAAATACTTAATTATCTAATTGGTAAATATAAATTTTTTCCATTTTGTATGTTTCATATTGATTTATAATTGCAAAACATTTATCTAAACCTTAAAAAATCATATATTTTATCATCAACATTATCATTATCATTGATCAATCAATGTTTCAAATAGGGAAATAATTTTTTTTTGTTCAGGGAAATACTCTTATTTTCATTATTCCGTATCACTATTGTTTTCGGTTATTCGATCATTATCATGTTTGAAATTTTTTTTTCAACCATTCACACCTGTGAATGGATTCAAAGTCAAAAACTAGTATTACAAAAAAAAACAAACAAAGATTAGATTTTTTTTTTCACATCCACAAAGCAAAAACACATAGAACAACAATCATTATGGATTGATGATGATGATGATAATGATGAACACATAAATACTGTGAATTATATCACATAGATAGTCGAAATGATCCATGCAACAATGAAAAAAAACTAAACTAAACCATTTTATCATTGACAACATAAATCCATTCATCAATCTTTATCCATCAACAACTGGAAATACAGACACACACACACACATGACATTCATCAACAAGTCATCGAGTTAATCTTCTTAAACTAGATAAGATTTTTTTCATTCTTTCACTTCTTAATGTCCCATCATTTTTTTTAGACTATGGGGGGAAGATTTGTAAGAGAAAAACAAACAAAAAATTCAGTTTTTAATGATATTTATAAAGATTGAAATGATTATTTCGATTCCTTATTTCTTATTATTAAAATTAGGGGAAAAAACAAAAAAAAAATTTTCATCACATCAGACAATTTGATGAATGAATATTTTAGCGAAGAAAATATTTAGCTTTAAAACCTCATTTTTCTATCAATAAAATCCCATTGACAATAATTAAATGTCTAAAATTCACGAAAAAAATTTCCATCATTATAATGATGATGATGATAATTTTATCTAAAACAAACAAAACAAAACGATTATCAGATATATATCTTCAGGGGGAAAAAAATTGTGACAAATTATCGATCGAAAATGATTATATAGAAAGTTTTTTTGGAAGAAAATTCTTGAACAAGGACATGGATTAATTTAAAAAAGTCTTAATTAATGTTTGTGTGTGCGTGTGTGTGGTCATCAATTGGTCATAATTGCTCAATCAGTGATTTACACACACGACTACGAAAAACTACAAATAAAGGAAATGTATTCGAGTTAAAATTAGTTTTTTATTTTCAAATGAATTTTTTCCAGTGAAATTTATTTTCAAACATGTTAATTAACTTGTTGATCAAACAAATTGATCATTTCATCACCGTCATCAAAATGAATGAGGAAAAAAAATTGATCAAAATTTTTTCCTCGATTTAAAATTCCTCCATAAGAATCTTATTATTGTAGACATGAGATGAATGATGATAATCACTTTGCATCCAAAATTGTTTAGGGTTTTTTTTCTTCAATCTTTTTAATAGTTTGATTAATTATTCATTTTGTGAATTGATAATATGATGATTATTTACTGCCACGAAAAAAGAGATAATCCAAATCACTCAATCTGATCGAATTGAGAATTCATTCATTGATCAATCTGTTTCATTGTTTTCCAAACTCAAGGTCTTTCCAATAAGAAAAACAAAAAACAAAACAAAAAAATTGATTAGCCAGAATTAATTATCAGTTGAAACAATGTTTCAATCATTCGAAAACAAAAAATGACATACGAAATAATCTTCTTAACTTGAATCATTTCATTTGATTAATTCTATTCAAGTTTATGATATAATGAGGGTGGAGATGAAAAATAAATAAATCTTTAGCTGACAACAAATTATTATTATCATTGTTGTTGTTGTTGTTTTTTTCACCATAATAAATTAATTAATAATCAGAATGATAATTTATCCAAATTCAATGACAAATTACAAATGACAAATTACAATCTACTTCCGTTTTTTTTGTTATTGTTGATACCAATAACATTCATCATATCACCTTTTCTTTCACCTCATAAGCCAATTTATTCGACTATCGCATATTGATCCATTATATTAATCTGTTTTTTTTTATATTTCATTTTTTTTCTTCTTTTCAAATCAATAGATCAATGGATTTTTTTTTATTTTCACACTTTGAATGTTCACGCCTGTCTGATTCAATCTTGTCAAACATGATGATGGTTAATCTCTTATCAACATTATTGATTGAACAAACAATCAACTTAATTAAATCGTTGACCGGCCGCTTCATCAGAACATAAATTTTCATTTTGGTTTCGTACCGTTTTGTTTATTTGGTTTTTTTTATTAAAATTCTTGTGTTTCCATTTACCCGCCTTCATATTGATCTACATTTGTTTCTTTTTGTTTTCCCGTTATATTTTGTTGAGTTTTTATTTTATCATTTTAGCATTTATGTTTAAGTTTTATTATTGATTACTGTTTTTTTTCACATTTTGTTTTTTTTGTAGTAAAAGATTGTTGGGTTTTTTCCATTTAAATTTACACACATTCATTACACTACTAACCATTCAAAATATAAGGATTCTAAGATTGATTGATTGATTGATTTTAGCCAAAACTTATCACAACGCATACTACGTCCATATAGAATATGGACATTTTCTGCTTTTATCATCAGGCATCATTATTCAACAAAAATTGTTTTGTCAAAAAAAACACCATTTGGAAAACACAACAACAACAACAAAATTTTAATTTATTAATCAATAAACTACAAACATTTCATCCATATTATTATTATTATTATGATAAAAAATATAAATATTTAATTATAATTTACAAAACAAAATTAACTTATTTATCTTTGATTCCAAACAAAACAAAAAAAAATATTTAAATTTCTTAGCAAAAACCAAACCAAACGAAACAAAACAAAAAAATGATTATTAAATAAAAACATTAATAAAATATTATTATTATTTGAAATTAATCAATCTTGTCTTTTTTTTTTTTAAATAAATTCTTACAAATCATTCTCATCATCATCTTCAGGTTAATCGATTTGTTTCGAGATTTGATCGGAAATCCAACAAAAAATCTTTTGCTTTTTTTCAATATTAGCCGAAAAAAAACCAATAAATGTTTATGATTCATGGAAAAATTAAAGAGAAATGCAAAAAAAAACATCAAGATTACATTAAGATTTATCATTGGAAAATATAGATTAAAAAAAAAATTAATGAAATTAAGGATTTACGAAAGCAAATTGCGGCATAATCATATTTTTTTTTATTTTAAAAACAGATAATTTTTGGTTTGGTAAAAAAAAATTATCTTTATTATAGGTTGCATATTAATTTTTTTGGTAAACATCAATTCAATGATTTGAAGAAAAAAAAGTGCAAATGAAAGATTGAAAAAAACAAAGTTTTATCTCAATGACACCACTCTCTGAACTGAACATTTCTTTTTTTTACATGTTAAAATCCAATCATTATTACACATATCACGATCAATAATTAGATGAAAATTCTTCCATTAATTGATGTTGAGCCAAATATTATTGGACAAAATATGAAAAAATGGACAATTATCTGATCGATACAAAGGCGAAAAAAAAATTATTATAATTTTTTTTCTTGTTATTTAGAATAAAACATGAAAAATTCAAATTCCAACAACAAAAATCCAAATTCAATGATTGATCGATTCTCCATTGGTTATCAATCACGATTCATGATAATTATCAATTATCATAAATTCATTGCGAAAGAAAATTCATTCATTTTTTTTTGAATTTCTATTCGATCTATTTTAAATCAAGTGAAATGAAATGGAAATTTATTGTTTGTTTGGAAAATTGTTTTTTTTTCGACAAAGCAAAACAAAACAAAACAAAAATGAATAATGTTTTCACACAATTAAATCCACTGTTGTTGAGTTGATGTGATGAATGTGTGCACACACACACACACAATATAAATCAAAAAATTCATTGTAATTATTATTTATTAATAATGGATTAAATTGATTGAATCCTATATCAACTTGTTGCCTTGTTGCAACAATTTATTAACAACAATTTTTTTCTGTTTATGATGATAGTGTTTATGTTATAATAATCAATAAACAAAAAGATTCTAGGTTATCGAAAAGACAAATAGTGTACGTGTTAATGTATGGATCCATCGTCTTCATAACAATTGATGCTGTGAATATATTGTGACTACATTAATATTTTTTTTTTACACCATTATAATTGCTGTAATCAAAAATAAATAAATAATAAAAACAATGAAATAAATTGGACAATAAACAAAGCAAAATGGATCGAAAAATGTGTTATTAGAAGCTCTAATTTTTTTTTTAATTGTAACATGAAAAAAAGGATGTTTAAATATTTCCTTTTTTTTCATCGTTTATCTCTCTCTCTCGCACTCAATGACTTTTACTATGTGTGTGTTATAGATCGAAATATTTTGGATGATAAAGGTTTGGCCAACTGTATAGGTGAACTGTTAGAAATTTGCTAAATTAAAACAATGATTATTGTTATTCCGGACAAATGTTGATGCAAAAAAAAAAACGTGTAGAAAAATCTATGGGACATTTGTGAACAACAGCAGAAAGAAAAATTCTGTCAATGAATCAAACAAACAAACAAACAAACTAGATTAGTTTCGTAAAACAAAATCAATTTTTTTTTCTATTATATTTTTCTGATCCATCAATTTGATGAATTCAAAAATCATTCATTCATTACACACACACACACCTTTTTATTGTTTGTTTTCAATCATCATCATCATCATCCTCATCATCATAATCATAATCGTCGATGGCCAATAAATTATTCGAAAAAATTTTCATTGTTTTTTAAAAAAAATCAAAAATCAATGTTATGAAACAGAAAAAAAAACATCAACATTTTGTTGTTTTTTTTACCCAAATTATGATGATGATGATAGCGATAATTGATTGATGATCTTAATTTATTCAAATGTTTTCCATAAATGTTTTTTGTTTCCAATGAAAAATGATGATGAATTCTATGAGAAACAGGATCGACAACAAACAAAAACTTTAATTGATCTTGTTTTTTTAAATAAATTCATCGAAAAAATTAAGTCACGCTGAAATTGAATTGGGGAAAAAAGATTTTTGAAATTTTTGTTGCTGTTGTTCATAATCACCATTATCATCTTTCACCCCTTACGGGATCAACAGAAAAAATTACAGCCAAAAAAAAATCAATATAAAAATATCGATCATGATTGATCAGACCAGAAAAAAAACATCCTAATCATTTAATCTGGATTTTCATGAATTTTTTTTTCTTCTCTTCAATTAAAATAAGTTGAATGCATATCTCTCGAAGCGATGCTAATGAATCTTGACATTAGATTTTTTTTTGTTGTTGTTTCTGGTTAAATTTATTGAGCTGTTGGCCGTAATTGAAAGTGGCAGTTTTGTTCAAAAATTCAAAAGACTATTGGAAACGAAAACAGCATCCAAAAAGAAAAAATGATGAACAATTTCGAATGATGAAGACACGAAATTGATGGGATGATACGGATCAATGTTTTGCTGCCTGTATAAATGAGAATTCGGTAGCAAAGTCACGAAAAAGTTTTTTTTCTGTTGTTCACCAAACACTACTAACATACACACACGATATAATCATGACTATTTAACACCATTTGAATCATCTTTTTAAAGTATTATATAATAATATAAAAAACAATCATTTATCACAGGTTCAATGTTGTGTGATCATAATATACATCGTCGACTTCTATTGATGATGCTAACTAGCATCGTCAATTTTTAATTGTTTATCTTAATGAGCAACCTGAAGATAATAAAAATAGAAAATTCTTTCCAAAATTAAAAAATGTGAAATATTGAACTAAATAACTTAAAAAACATTGTTTTTTTTCCAATAATAATCTCATTATCGTTTTTTTTACGATTATAATTTGTGAGCATCATTCATTCATTAATGGCTTATAGATTCTAAACAAAACAACGAGTAAAGCAAAAAAAATGATTCCATTTTGAATATAGAAAGGATTTTTTTTTCTCAAATCATTATCTTTATTTATCATGATATCTGTTGATATTTCAACAGCAAAAAGGAAAAAACAACAAAACAAGTAAAACAGTGAAACAGAGAAAAAATCATTTGCAATTCTAAAATTTATAATTATAACAAAAAGTAATTATTTTGATTCGATTTTTTTTGTTTCATTACACACATTTGTCTATTCTATTTCTATGTATTTCTCTTTTAAGATTTTTTTTACAGATGGCCAAAATCATCATCATTTGATCTTTTTTTTTTGCTTTATTCTTAGATATTTTGAATAAATTTATCTGTAAATATTATCATAGCACTGTGATTTTAAAAAATAAGTATTTATCCAAAATTCGACGATGATCCATTTGTTAATAATCTTGTCCTTGTTACCTGTGTGTATATGTGTAAAATCATTAAAAATAGTGAGAAAATAATTGACTTTTTGTTTTCATTGTAAATTTTCTGTTTTGACATCTCTGTTGTTCCACCACCAAAACAAACATTATGTCTGGGCCATTTTTTTTGACTAATATTTGAACAATATCAATACAGCAAAGTGCAAAAGAAAAATAAGAAATCGATAAGAAAACAAGTACAAATCTACCAATTATCAATCAAGGCTGAATAATCCAAATCATTTGTTTTTACTGTTTAAAACAAAATAAAATTATTAAAATACATAAGTTTTTTTCCGTATTCCAGGAAAACAACAACAACAACAATAATAAAACAAACATGGACAAAAAAAACGTGACTTAAGATTATAGACATTGGCCATTGGAATGCTTGGGAAATTGTATCAAATCACATCATTACAACAACAACAGCAAAAACAAAAATACCGGATTCTTCACAGGATTATCAACACACTGGCAACAATAAATGGCAAAAATGTTTGATGAGAGAAAGCGGATAGAATCAAGGAAATGATCCATTTTTTCGGTGGAAAAAAATACAAAATTCTACAAAAGTGATGGAGATTTTATTCCCTTGATTTTCAAAAACAAAACAAAAAAAAGTTAAAAATAGTTCATACTATTGAATAATAACCGTAGGTAATGGTAGTAAAAAAGGAAGAAAATTTATCTATAATTATTTAAAATTAAATGAATTATATCTGAAAAAATAATAATAATAATGTCTTTGCATCTATGATTATCATC